CTCCCTCTTCCATGCTGGCTTGGTGGTAGGCAGCATATCTGTTTTGTGTGCTGCAGAAGAGCCCAGGGGTTCAGTCTCTGGCATCTCCAGTGAAATATTTATCTATTTATTTAGCTTGTTTATTGCCTACCTTCCTCACTGAGGCTCAGATCAGGTTTTTGCCATCATTACTGTGGCTGTCATGCAACTGTTGAAGATACAGGAGTCTACTCGAGGAAAGCAAAAACCTGACAGCTCTGTAGCGGGGCTCAGGGAAGAGATTGCCCTTTGTACACGCCTGTTTGCAGTATTCGAACTGTAGGTCTGCTCCAGCCTTGCAGCTCGGTTTGCACCATGGCAGCAATGCACAGCTAAAGGAAGCATGTGGTTCTCACTGAAGTAATGCTTGCATATGAAGAGGAACGCTGTTCTGATTATGGTGGTGTTCTGCTCTGCAGTTTTCAGTTCTAATGCACACATTTGTGCAAGCCTAGTGCTTTTCAAAGCCCAAGCTTCTTGCAAATGTATCCACTACAGCACAGCCTGTTCTTCTGCTACTGCTGGGGCTGGTTGCATCTCCCAGACTGCTCCCCTGCTGTGGCACAAATGATTTGGGTCTGTGTAACCAGCAGAGGTGAAAATCCATCTTATTTCTAATGGTATTAGGCCCCCCCCCCCAAAAAAAAAGCCACTCTGCTCTTTTTGAACAAGGACTTGCTAGGGAAATTTTACATAGGAGTGCGAGGGTGATTTCCCAAGAACTGGAGTTGTAGCTTAACTTCTGTAAAGTATGCTTCTGTGATACTCTTAAAACATGTTTATTAGCTTCAGGCATGTTGGGCTGTGGGCTTTTGTGTGAACTGAACCATATTTTTACTGCCCTTTATCATGACATATAAATTATGGTATGTAAATAACGACAAAGGTTGATGCAAATGACAAGTTGATAGTGGGCAACTTTCAGACACAAAGTAAGCCAATAAACTGTATTTGTGCAGACTGAGACATAGGGACACTTTTCCCTCTAAGCTAAGTTAGTGTGAGCTAGCTCACAGTTTTTAAGCCTCCGGCTTACACATTTTTGTCTTAGCTCAGGAAGGATGGCTCCAGAGCAAACTAATTGATGCAGCAGCCCAATCACTTGCTCACAACTTTAATGCCAGCAGCTCACAAAGTAGATTTTTTGCTCACAAGACTCCACAGCTTAAAGGGAACATTGCATAGGGAGCCAATGTTTCTAACTCCATATGTTCCAATAGGATCTGAACTGGCCCATCAGATTATGGCAGACATCAGTTTAATTGTAACAACAGTGAAAAAGACAAATTGAATGTTGGGGATCAGTAGAAAAGACACTGAAAATAGAACTGTTATTATTGTGATGCCTTTGTAGAAATCTCTGGTGCAGATTCATTTGAGTTCTTGTCATGCCCCCTCAAATAAGCGCTGGAAAAGGTGCAGAAAAGAGCAAACAAAATTATCAGATGCTGGGCAGACAGGATTGTAGTACATCAGGACAACTGTCAAGTTTGACCCTAAGCCTCCATTTGAACTTTTAATCTCCCTGGTCATTCCATCAGAAATCTCCGAGTAGCCATCCTTGAGCACTGGGAATATACCTATGGAATGCAAGGTGGTATAACAGAAACTGCTTCAGAAATTTGACTGTGTCAGTCAAGTCCCACACAAAAGTTACAATTTCCCCCCCTACACTGCAAGAGCTGAGAGTAACACAGTAGGGTTTTTTGCTGCTATGGAATATATTTTTCGCTTTTAAAAAGTGCTTAACAATTTCATGGAGGTTAGACCTATCACCTACAGCTACTCTGCTATGGAAGCTTGCTGGGTAACCTTGACTCAGTTATACACTCTCCAGTTAACATACCTCACATGGTTGTTCTGAGAAATAAAGTGGAGGAGCGAATGACAGTGGAAGCTGCTTAGAGCAGGGATGTCAAACATCCCCCCGCAGGGCTTCTATCAGGCCCGCAGTTAACTGGCTGTCTTCTGCTTCTTCCAGTTCTGCTGCTGCTGCGTCACTGTAGGTTTGCAGCTTACAGATACACATCTGAACAGCATACTCAAGATTGCAACAGCACAGGGGTGTCAGTTATCAGACACTTAAATAAAGAAAATATTGCAAGAGTGCTAATGTTTAAGCATGTTTTTATTTTAAGGAAAAAAAAACTTTGTGTTTGTGTCCTTTATAAAGTTTATATCTCCACTACCTGGCATTACATTTTATGACACACATGGCCCGGCCCAACAAGGTCTCATTTATGTCAGATCCGGCCCTCATAACAAATGAGTCCAACACCCCTGGCTTAGGGTCTCTACTAGGGAGAAAGGTGGGGGATGAGTGGAGTAAATAAATACATAAATATTCATTTTTATTTTATTTATTTATAGCCTGACGTTCTTGTTGAGACAGATTACACAGTTGGGTGGATCCTACCCATAACCTACCCCTACACTGAGTAAAATTTGTTTGTTTGTTAAAATATTTATACCCCACCCTTGCTTTTGTCTCAGGTTTGAAGCCCTCTCTAATCTAAGGAGATTCCACTGGAAGTTGCAGGAAGGGTCCCTTAGGCTGGAGAAAGGGTGCTTGAAGGATGGTTGGATCCACTCCAATGTAAGACAGCAAGGGACAGCCAACAAATAGTGCAGTGGGGCTAGATCACAAAAGATAGAAACAATGCAAAAAAGTAACGGACATGATGTCATAAACGGTGCAAAAAACAGGCCTACAAAAGTAGAAAACAGTGCATAATAGACAGACTGCAATCCTGTTCCCATTACATTGCAGCCTTACTGCCTTTGTGGAAATGCCTTCCTGCACAATTCCTTTTTTACGCAATTTGCAGAATGACAGAATATTGCAGTATTTATTTGACTCTGTTATTTTCCAAGAACCTGGATGTGCCATAACTACCAGTTGAGTCAGGATTCCTTGCAACAAATCTTTTTAGTGATCTATTGACGTTTCCAAGGTTAGGTTTTGTGCAGCTGTTTTGTGCAGCTGTCTGGACTTCCACTCCCCGCTGTGTCTTTGTCTTAACACTTCCAAGCTGTTTAAGACGAAGATTTGAGCCCTGACTTTTCTCTCATCTTTGTCGTTTAAGTTAGGTTTCCTCCTTTTCAAGCTAGAAAGCTGGCACCACTGAAATCTTCTTGTTTGCAGGTGGCCCTGAGAAGGCAGCAAGCTCAAGAGGAAGAACTGGGCATCAGCCACCCTATCCCTTTGCCGAGTGCCACAGAAATGTACATGAAGAAAGAGAACAATGCCAATGGGTCCTGCTTGCTGCTGGAGAGCAGCAGCCCCCCACAGTCCACGACAACCACAGCTTCCTCAGGGGCGGCCTCATCAACAGGTAGTGTTCTGTGAAGGGACCTAGACTCCAATCTGAGCACATCTTTGGGGTGAGAGGGAGGAGGAGGAAAGGGACTCCTGTGGCTTTTTTAGCTTGAAGCAGCACATAATAGGATAGTCATAAAACAGTCCCTAAGCCTGCACTGGTTTTGATTTCCACGTAGGTCCAAAATGTAATTTTTCATGGGTGCAGGGTTGTACGGCCTTTATTTTTAAGAGAACTTTGCAGTTCCAGAGTCTCTGGTTGTAGTTCCTTAGATGATCTAGTAACCTGGCACTCGGCCTTGGTAGTTTTAGAGGGTAGCTGTGTTGGTCTACAGTAGAACTGGTGGTTTCAAGTTCCATACCACCTTAGAGACTAACAAGAGTTTGGGGATATGAACTTTGGAGAGATCCGACAAAAGGAATTTGGACTCTCATACCCCTAAAATCTTGCTGTTCTCTGAGGTGCTGCTGAATTCAAATCTAGCTTGGTAGAAAACCATTTTAATCCCGCCAGGGAGATCTGCTAGGGAAGCAGTCTTCTGCATTCTTCAGTGCCAAGGAACCATGACTGCTTTCACATGGGGATTTTTCCGCACATGGGCAGCAGGAAATCAGTGGGAAATGTTCTTGTTTTCCCCTTCAAGCTGGGAAAAACTGGGTGGCAGGCAGCAGCAAGTGTTATAGGAATGGTGTATGTGTTGGTGCTGTTAGACCTGACAATGGCTGCAGTCCTAAGGACACTTTCCTGAGAATAAACCCCCTGAATAACAGGGGACTTAACCTCTGAGAAGACCTGCTTAGTAGGTGGATCAGAATTCAGATGATTTTAAAAGACAGGAGTGTTCTTGGTGAAGTAATATCAGATTCTTGAGTATGGAAATTCATTGCCTTTGCAAAAGATAAATACTTAGACATATAATTAAGAATTTTCTGCTGAAGTTTTCTGTTACAGAAGAACATTTTACTTAATTAGTAGATTAATTAACACAGTTTTTCATGTATTAATCAGTAGAACCTATTGTAATGGATGGAATTAAGAGCATTAAGTCTATTTCCTCATATGTTAGGTATGAAAGGAGTTTTGGTATGGTATGGTATATGTTTTTAGTATGGTATAAGGTATGGAAACAAAAATATCAATTAGAAAATAGGAGGGTAGACCTTTCTTCTAACATCTGCTATATTGGGATTTTGGTAAATGGAGATTTATTTAAATTCAGCCTGTTCCAAGGCAGGTGAGTAATCAATCAGTCTTTAATTGAGTGACAGCCTTAACTGTCACACATGTATCTTCATGCAGAAACTGACACTTGGCTTCACCCATCTGGCATAACATTATGTCTCAATATGTAGTTGGGATTTTACCTATGTAGTTTATAGAAATGCAAGTGAGATACCTAATTCTGCAAAAAGAGACTTCATATTACTTGAATTATGGTTTCTACACACTTTATTTTGTTTATTAAATCCTTTTGTTAGTCTTTGAAAGTACATACTAGTTATTCAAGAGGGATGCAGACTTTTCTGCTGGACTTCTTTTTGTTTCCTTTCTAATTAGCAGCAAAACCTTAACTGTAACTATATTTCTACAATTACCTTATAAAGCATAAATTGTTAGCTGGTCAAATAAAGACAAGTCAGCATCTTGTTGTTGTTCAGTCGCACAGTCGAGTCTGACTCTTTGCGACCCCATGGACCAGCTCCCGCCAGGCCCTCCTGTCTTCCACCTTCCTCTGAAGTTTGCTCAACTTCATGTTCGTTGCATCCATGACACTGTCTAACCATCTCATCCTTTGCCGTCCCCGTCTTCTTTGACCTTCAATCTTTCCCAGCATCAGAGTCTTCTCCAGTGAGTGCTCCCTTCTCATTTGGTGGCCAAAGTATTTGAGCTTCAGTTTCATTATCTGGCCTTCCAGGGAACAGTCAGGGTTGATTTCTTTTAGGATTGACTGATTTGAT